GATATGAGAATGCTCGCCATAATCTCCACACTTAGAAAAATCCTCAAATTCCTAATCTCCAAAAGGTTGACGCCTCTTGTGTTTCGGGTGTCTATGGGCGGCGCCAATTGCTTACCATCAGGATCAGGTGATCCGTCGGCTCGTTTACCGACTTATTTAATAAAAAAAACCGATTGGGTAATCAGTTTAAGAAGTTCCGGTTAGGCATGACGGACTGCCATGTTGGCCGAGTGGTTGCAAGTGCGACTACCGGATAAGGGGTCTCGGTCTCAGGTTCGATACCCGGGTTGGGCAAAGTATTACTGGGTTTTTAAAAATTCTCAGTAGTAGCTAAGTCTGGAAATGTGCCCGGTATACCTATGGCAATAGGCTCACCCCCTATTACATGGGCCTCATAACATAAATAGTGAAAAGTGGCATTAAGTGCCGTAATGTGCACCTCTGCCTACCCCTTATTTACAAGTGACGTTGGTAAGAAATGCATTCCACTATGTCATCACATTATCTTTGCTACTCCCATCAAAACCTATAATCGCCTATTCACGGCAAAAGTGACGGCCCCGGGATACGAACCCATCTAATCTACACATTGCAACATATTCGCATGATATGATTTACCGGCGGCCGCGCACGCGCAATCAATCGTGCCGATCTACTTCGTGACCGCTACTGCAATAATTCCAATGGTTAATTGAATACTTTTTTAATTTTATTTTTTATAGTTAAACTCGTTGACCCAGACTAAGGTTAGGTTTTGTAAAAGTGAACTCATCTGATATAATACATCACATGATTTCATTTTTTGATTACCTGAACGGTTTTTTTTTGTTTTTTTTTAATAACGTTGCCCCACATTAGAATTTTCTCCTGTATCGTAGGTGCGTTTACAAACATACAAGTTCACGTACACATGACACCCAGACCCGAAACAACAATTTGTGGATCACTCAAAGTGTGAGGGAATCGAACCCGCGACATGTTGCACGGCAGCCGGTTGCCCAGCCACCGCACCAACCGTGCAGTCATTTATCTTACTATATTTTGTTTGTTTGTTTTGGGTCATGGAATTTTACTCCCTTCCTGACGGCAAATATTTTCCTTATATTTTTTTTTAATAAAAGTCGTTGCCCATCACTAGGATTATCTCCTGTGTCGTGTGTGCGTTTACATACATACAAATTCACATACACAAGGCAACCTGCATTGAGCAAACGTGGTGGTTAATGCTCAAACCTTCTCCGTGCGAGAAGAGGCTTTGCTTAGCAGTGGCCATTTATGGGCTGTTGATGATAATATACCTAACGAAATCTAATCATATCTTACTAGCTAAGTATACTTTTATATAAAGCGGAAGAGTTTGTTTTTTTGTTTGTTTGTTTGAACGCGCTAATCTCCGTAACTACAAGTCTGATTTCAATAATTCTTTTTGTGTTGGATAGCGCATTTATCGAGGATGGCTATAGGCTATAAAACATCATGCTACGACCAATAGGAGATGAGCAGAGCGTGTGAAACCGCGCGGAAGTAGCAAGGTTTCAATATATGGCAATAGACTCATCAGTTACGTGAGACTCATTTAAAAACTGGGAGCAGTATTGCATCCTCTACCTATCCCTTCGAAGGTTAAACGGCATGACGTTATAATGTGTCATTCTCTGTCATTTTAGGATACCAAAATCGTGATCTCAAAACCATAAGACTCAGAACCACTTTCAATAATTTCGAAATTACTCCCGTACTCTAATTGTTACCTTTAGGTCAGAGAGACACCTACGCAAAATTTTACAGCAACTCCTAATCTTATTCCATCGTCACAAAGTTCATTTTAAGACCTTAACTTTGGTAGAGTTACAACCTTTTCAGTTTGTTCTTGTTATTTGAAAACATACTTTAGTCCTATATTGTTAAAGCTGTAATTGGTGTGAGTGTTTTCGTGTTATTTTGTAGTCTTAATTTCATGGTGATCGTGACAGATGCAACCTGTCTCAAAGTGTACATACCTATTCTATATTTATACTATATCTAAGCAACGATTTTGTTTTGATTGACAACTTAAGGTGTGAGCAGAGATGAAAGTAAAGTGCTATGTTTTCGAGATTTCTGTCATGACGCCTTTTAAAACCCATTGTATGTAACACTTTTCAGCAACTACGTTATGAGTATCATTTTCGAAAAGCTCAAGAACCCTTTTTTGAGGGGGGAAATCATCCAATGCCTTCTCTCACCCTGGTGAGGCGAGAGGGAGTGTCAGACTCTTACTGACTAAAAACTACACCGATCCTATTCCTGCACTTCGAGCCAGAGCCCAGGCAACCCGTTAAGTCCTCCGCGGCTCCGTATCCGCATCAGCCCTATTGGGTTCTGTGGAACCTCAAGAACCCTTACAATATTTATATATCTTATAAATGAAAAAGTCCCAAAACGAGATGGCGAGACGAACTGGACATGTATGACCCGGATTAGCTGTAAAAAGCTTTACATAGAGAGGAGTGGAAGGAGGATAGTGAGACCTTTGCCCTGCAGTGGTACGATCATGGTTGAAAATAAAATAAATAAATAATACATTAAAAATCCCACGTAATAATAGGGAGTGTCATTCGGCCCCAAAAATCGAGCACATCAGCGCCTTTAAAACCAGTAACCTAACTTCCCAAACCTACCAGGCATGCGTAAGATAATCCAAGATCTTCAAAAGAGAAGCCTTTTTAGCAGTCAAAATTTAGTGAACAGTTTTTCTCACAATAAACTTAAAAATAACCAAGCTTCCTTTAACATTTTTTACAATTTTTGTCTGTCTGTCTATCTGTGCTGGCCAATCTCTTGAATGGCTGGACTGCACTTTGCAACACTTTTATTCTGTCTGTCTGTCCTATTCTATTTTGTAAAATTGATACAAAACCAACATTTATTCTAAAATTCATATTCTACGCGTACGAGGTCAGTAGCAGTAGTCTATACCTATACCTACTATAAATAAATAGTTGTTGATAAGATTTTATATCAAGATTAATATTTTCATAACCTCTGAAAGATTGTATGAACTTTGACATGAAATAAATACTTACACATGTTGTTATAGAATCTGTCTATTCGAACGTGCATCATTAGGTTAATAGATCCAAACCACTACTGCTGATCTTGTGTTGGGTGCGATTCCCATAACTAATAACTATATGACATAAACGCTAGACAAGTACGCGTGGCGCTCTCTAATAAACCTGTGCCTTTAGCCAAACGCCACTTTAGCGCTTGTCTACAGAGAGAGTAGAAAACTAAATGTATGGGGATGACACTACCAAGTGCCAAAATTTACGTCAATTCCATATAATTTGGTTGTCTATTCTACATGTAGACAAGCGCTAAGTGGCATTTGGCTACAGCTGCTGAAACTCTTAAACTACAATCTCCAACCCGACTGCCAAGCGTAAAAACTGTGTTTTAAAAACCGACTTCAAAAATCCAAAAAGTAATAACAATTCAAGTGTGGGAGACCCATGCTTCGGCACGAATGGGCCGGCTCGACGGAAGTGATACCACGGCCTCACAGAAGACCGACGTGAAACAACGTTGTGTTGTGTTTCGTCATGAAAGTGAGGTTACCGGATGCCCAATTACCCTCCCCAATCCCTGAATCACCAACAATCCTCAAATTCCTAATCGCAAAAGGCCGGTAACGCACATGCAACGCCTCTGGTGTTCCAGGTGTCCATGAGCGACGCCGATTGCTTACCATCAGGTGATCCTTCTGCTCGTTTACCGGTTTATCCCATAAAAAAAACAAACAAAAGCCCAAAAAATAACTATTACTAGTACTTATAGGTTACCCCTGAGAGGCTAGAAGTCGGTGCTGGAGGTGAGATAATCTTGCGCCTTGAATGAGAAAAGAGAGAGTGTCAGACTCTTACTGACTAAAAACCACCCCGTTCTTACTCTTGCTCCGAGCCGGAGACCCGGCAACCGGCAAGGTTTTCCTCATCTACAGATGGGCTGTGGATGATAAAATGATGAAGCTATTATATTAGACATAGACATATATAGCCTAGTCTAGGTAATACCTATGGACTTAAATTATCAGTGTTTTAGCTCAGACTTAAGTAGAGTACCTAAGTTTATAGGTTTTAGGGGAATGTAGGCGGAACGGCTTGACTGATGCTCTGTTTTGAAATTCAGAGAAATTATTTATGCTGCCTTGTTGGCTGAGTGGTCGGGAAGTGCAATTCCCGGGCCCAGGGGGCTTACTCTTGAATCCAATTCCGATCGATCGACATTGATATTGTGAAATTTCGTACTCTTGAGTTGCTACACTAGCGCCCATTGCATCCGTATTGCGTGGATATTGAATAAACTAAATGGTACTGGTTTTGACTATACATTCCCTACCCCGAATGCTATTTTAACAGCTACGATAGGGGTTGTATAGTTTTGACATTGAATCATTATTGGGATTTTATTAGATTGAAATTGCATTGACATTGAGATTGATTTCAAGAGTAAGCACCCAGATCGGGCAAAGCAATAATGTGTTTAAAAAAAAATCTCAGTGGTAGCACGGAGTCTGGAATCGTGCCTAGTATATATGGTAATAGACTCACCCCTGATTAGATGGGACTTATAACATAAATAGTGAAAAGTCGGTGTTACATTGTACAGTAGAATAATGTACACGTCTGCCTACCCCTTCGGGGATAAAAGGCATGATTTTATGTTATGTGTTATGTATGTTAGAACATCATCACGAGTATTATATGTCTTCAAAGGATATATAGATTTATAGGTACGTTGATACATCGTACCGAAAATTTGTTCATACAAAAGTAGTTTCTATGCATCGGAAATAAGGTATATAATGTAGTTAGTGGGGAGCGGTCACCGGTGTCTGCTTGGGGATTGAGCAGTTAAATACACTTTGAATAATTAACTAAATATAATATTTTCGATTTTATTACTGAGAAACAGAAACATGAAAAGAAAATTTTAAGCAGGAGTCGGAAGGAGTGGTTTTTAGACGGTAAGAGTTTGACACTCTCTCTCGTGTCACCCTAGGAGAGAGAAGTCATTTGATGATCCCCCTAAAAAAAGGATTATCAGAATTACCTCGAAAAATATATCCTCGATAAACGAACTGGTAAGACCTCAAGACACTTTTCAATTGCAGTAACTAGGTATTACAGTTACAAATTACAATTAATCAAATCACTTAAATCCCTAAAAGCCATAACAACATTAATGTCATGAACAAAACTTGTCACTCAACCGGAGAATCAAACTTGAGACCTTACAAGCAACTTTGAGCATTACCACCAAGGTAATCTCAGACCCATATTGTTCGAAACACTATAACATTGACCTCCAAACTAAAGTAAATTAAATTAAGTAGAGCAACATTCTAGCCGTATCGTTAAGCAGATGCGCCAATCTCTACACACACATACACACATTACCTACGTATGTACTCGTAATATATGTAATAAGTAATCACTGGTATAATGCTATATAAACGGTCGGGAATCGATTCGTACATCATTCGGGCATCTTCGGTCAAACGTGTGGTGTTCGGGAAATTTGAATTTTTGATATTGGAAAAACGTTTATTTAACGGTTTTTTGGTTGATTGATTGCAAGTGAAGTGTTGTAAAGGTTTGGACTTTTTTTTAAATAGGTGCATGTATTAAGTAATAGTTATTTTTAAGTTATACCTATAACATATTACCTACTTTCTATGTGAAAATTCGGGAAAATCGACTTCAAAAAAGAGTACAAAAGTACAGTCGAACGATAGCAAATTTTTGTAGTATTAACTGAAATTTTAAACCACGTATGAACCAGTTTGACAGCATGACTACCGAGTAATGAATCTTGGGTTTGGTTCCAGAGACGATCATTGGGTTTTTAAAATTATCCGCAACAACATGAAATCTTTGTCTTTATCTGAACAGTGAATTTGAAAACAAATATGGCTTTTTTAAGGGAGGAAATCATCGAAAAACTTCTCCCGCCTGGGTGAGGCGGGAGGGAGTGTCAGACTCTTACTGACTAAAAAACCACCCCGTTCCTACTCCTACACTTCAAACCGGAGCCCCGGTAACCCCTTAAGTTCTCCGCGGCTCCGTATCGGCATCAGTCCTATTGAGCCCCATCCATGGTGGTCTGATGACTCTTTGAGGCGTGCTCGAAACGCGAAGCGCCGTACGCTCGGGTTAAACAAATATGGCTGACCCTCAATTGTGAACAACGAATTGACACCTCAATGTTTTGTATCATTTTCAAAGTTAAACGTTCTTTTCAGGTTACAAATCATTGTGTAAGAAATCTCCGAAATACCTCAAAATATGAAGGTGAGTTAAAATAAAATACATATATCAATTTATTTATATAAAACATCTAACTGTGTTATGTCTATATATTGTGAATTGCTAATCTGCATCCGATTATCTCGTAGGTCAAGTTGCAAACGAGACTATACCCAGTAAGAGATCTCGGGTTTGATTCCCGGATTAGATATTGTAAAATCTCTCTTGTATAGGCATGTAGTTATTGCAATTGTAACTTTACTTGTCGAGTTTTTTTCAAATGTTGAAAAATCATCGAATGACTGCTCCCGCCTGGGTGAGGCGGGAGGGAGTGTCAGACTCTTACTGACTAAAAACCACCCCGTTCCTTCTCCTGCACGTCGAGCCGGAGCACCGGTTACCCGTTAGGTTCTCCGCGGCTTACTTGTCGTGTAGAGTAACAATTTCAATCAGTTTAAGCAAAAAAAAGAAAAAAATGTATAAATTACAATGATAGGTTATATTTCTTTTATGATATGCAAATCTATTGAGGACTCCTGTATAAAATGTACAGTGGTCCTTTTACCCAACTTATATATGTATATTAACAATTTTCACATTACTTTCAGCTCCTCCTAATCAGTGCGTTAGCAGTGGTGTGCTTAGCAGAGCCTCCAGTGGACAATAGATACTTGCCACCACAGTCAGGGGGCGGAGCACCCTCGGCATTATACGGAGCCCCCGGAACAGGCTTCCAGAGACAAACTGATGCTGTGTTCAGGTACACCAGTACACCATCATACATCGTATTACTATTTTAAAGTTAACATAATTGGGTAGTTTCCAGGGTATCAAAATTAAAAATCTAATTAGTCCGTCAGTTAGATAATGAAAAAATATTAGACACGTATTTTTTTCTTTTCTCATATTAAGTTGTAATACTTAAATAAAATGTCGCTAAGTTTAGGAGTGGGAGGTTGTTACGTCATAACGTGCTACAAAAATAATATGGTACGCTGTGACGTCATACGATATTTCTAATTAATATATCGTCGAAAGTATTTAATTTGTGAGAAAAGAAAAAATACGTGTCTAAAGTTTTAAATTAAAGTACCAGACGGACATTAAAATAAAATTAAGCAACCCTATTATATCAAACCCAAATATGATGCAAGTAATATTAAAGAAAGCTCGTATTGAAAACCTTCATCTATTAGTTATTTTGCTGTATCTACCTCTAGAGTGTTAGAGTAATCGACAGCCAAGTAACGAAGCTTAAGATCGACTCCTAGTTAAAGCAAAGAATACTTTACAACACTACTTATTTTACATCACATAACATCACGCCTTTTATCTCCGAAGGGGTAGGTAAAGGTGCACATTATACCACTGTACAATGTAACACGCACTTTTTACTATTTATGTTATGAGTCCCATGTTATAGGGGGTGAGCCTATTGCCATATACCGGGCACACTTCCAGACTCCGTGCTACTACTGAGAATATTAAAAAACCCAGTAATACTTTGCCCGACCCGGGAATCGAACCCGAGACCCCTTGCCCGGCAGTCGCACTTACGACCACTCAGCCAACGAGGCAGTCACTACTTATTTAATACTTATAAAGTAACAGTATCGTCAAAATAGGTGTCCTTTCGTTTATTTCTATTAAAACTTTCAAAGCTAAAGTATTAATCTTACCTTTCAGAAGCCGTGGCCCATCCCGCGCTGGTGGTCGTCGTCCTTCGTCCCAGTACGGTGCTCCTCGCTCAGGCCAAGGCCAATTCAACGCACCATCCACCCAATACGGTGCACCTGGACAAGGAAACCAGCCATCATCGCAGTATGGAGCTCCGTCTCAATTTGGATCACAATCTGCCCAATTCGGATCACCTTCGACCCAGTACGGTGCCCCATCTGCCCAGTTCGGATCTCCTTCAACTCAGTACGGAGCTCCGTCTGCCCAGTTTGGATCTCCATCTTCCCAGTATGGTGCTCCATCAGCCAATGCTCCTTCTCAGCAATATGGTGCTCCTGGATTTGGCGGTGCTGGTGGTAAGGCTACCTCGACTCACTTATTAGAGATTTAACATCGGACTATACTATAGCTCCTATTACCAAACCTCAATCCTGGACATAAAATAAGCCTCTATCATGGCGCACCATAACAGTCAACACACGATCCCTATCTTTAACAAATTACTGCACTACTGTCTTACAGGAATTGCAGGAACTAGGAAAAAAAATACACTTATGTCTTTGATTACCAGGTCACTCCCAGGGCGGTTCCTTCGGTGGTCAGTCGTACAGAGGTCAGGAACAGAGTCGCCAGTACTTGCCTCCTGGCTCTGGCGCTAACGGATACGGTGCTGACGATGGCAGCAACGGGGTAAGTTGTCTTTATGCGTTGAAAATATGAATATCGTAGCAAAACCCTCAGAAATTTACGTTTTAATTTTTGGATGGTATAGACGTCACCAGACACAGGGAAAATCATTGGATTTTTTTTATTTTCTTATCATTTTTGTTATTTTCATACAATATACTTAGTTATGTTATGTATAGCCATATCGTTCCGTCTTCTCTTGATAGCTTCTGTTTTATTTCGATACAAATTAGTTTGGCTTAGTGTAGCGTTGTGTATCCTCTTATACAACTTTCTGCTATTAATAACGATTGAACTCTTGGCGTTCCATAGTCTTTGCCTACCCCCATGGGAGACCAGTATGAATGCATACTTTAAAATCTAGTATTTATAATTCCAGGAGCCCGCAAACTACAACTTCGAATACATGGTAAAAGATGACGCATCCGGCAATGACTTCGGACACAGGGAGTCCAGACAAGGAGACAGGGCGGAGGGCCTGTACTATGTGCTGCTTCCCGATGGCAGGAAACAGGTGAGCTATTAAATAAGACAGTTTACCCATAATTGCAAGAATCCTCGTCTGCCTCGTTGGCCGAGTGGTCGCAAGTGCGACTGCCGGGCAAGGGGTCTCGGGTTCGATTCCCGGGTCGGGCAAAGTATTACTGGGTTTTAAAAAATTCTCAGTAAATAGCACGGAGTCTGGAATTGTGCCCGGTATATGGCAATAGGCTTACCCCCTATTACATGGAACTCATAACATAAATAGTGAAAAGTGGGTGTTACATTGTACAGTGGCCCTTCGGGGATAAAAGGCGTGATGTTATGTTATGCAAGAATCCTATGAAATGCATGGCACAATGACTAGAGAATATCCCTTTTTCCAACTCCTGATTACTAGCTCCATCCAAAAGCTGTCTGTAAGGAATCGCATTCTGCGATAAGACCGCCCGTTGTACACATTTTTTTATGTTTATTTTTCTTAGTATGTTTTTATGGTGTACAATAAAGAGTAAAATAAAAAAATATTGCGGAACTTGTCGAACTCACAATTCTACGTTGTTTTTGGCATAGGTGTGATGTGTATGTGAAATTATGTGTTTTTAAACACACTTAATGACACGGGGAAAATCATAGTGCGGATCAATGCCTCATTTTAAAAGAAAACCAATTGATAAGTTGTAGTATTTGTTACAATCATGGATATTAAATACCTATTTGGCTTCACCCACAGACTGTCCAATACGAAGCTGACCAAGACGGCTACAAACCCAAGATCTCCTACGAAGACACTGGTCTCGGTCAGGGAGGCTATGACAGAAATAGCCAATCAGGCTACAATGGCAACGGCAACGGCTACCAAGGCCAGGGTGGACCTTACTAAACGGCTATTACCAACGAAATGAGGTCCGTACGTCTAAAAAATACCAATATAAAGTATGTTTTTAGACTTAAAAGTGGTATTAATTGTATTAATGAGCTTTGATTGTTGTTTTTAAAAGTAAAAATCATTAATAATTAATGCCATGGACCTGATAAAATATAGAAACTGGAATTATGGCGACGTAATTTGACATTTGTTATATTTTATCTGTGCAAAAATTAGGCGGGAATGTTTTAGAGGTTATGTCTGTCAGAAATGAAAATATTACTTTAATTAATTGTGCCGTGATATATTTCCTTTGTGTATATTGTTTATAGAAACCTTTGCTATTATTTAGAAAGGTAAATATGTGAATAGAAATTTAATATTTTCATTTTTGACAAAGATTTTTTGAGGTTATTTTTAGACGACGACTTACGCTGTATTTAATGGATACGAGTCATAAAAAGACTAATGTACAAAACGCTTATTTAGTTGTAGGTTTGCTAGGAAAAAAATCTATATAAAATACTCTATCTTCTATATACTTTCCAAGTAATATCTGTTTATTCTTTATACTTGAAAGGCCAGTAATTTAAAATATCTACATAGAAATGTAAATGGACGAAATACTCACTATTTTTCTATAAAAACCACTCTATGTTTATCTTATATTAATATGTATTCATGTGAATTCTATTACTTAGTACGTTAGTTCGCCTAATACAATATTTTGTAAATAAATGATTTTATAATAATTTTGTGTATTTCTTTCTTATTTTATACTTATAGTCAACTGGATTTTAATTTAGACCTAAAATACACATACTAAAGAGCACTCTAATAAAAAAGTAACCAAACCAGAAATTCGAACTCGATTAGTTTCAAAACAGCGCGAACTATGGACCCCTGGTATGGCTTGAAACTAGTCGAGATACCTCGCCCAACAGCTATGTTAATAATTCATAAAACATAATTAATTTAATACGTTCTCATCATAGTTTCTTATGTTGAGTAAATAGCCCGCTTCTCATGGATGAGGGCACGGGATCGAAACCTACCAACGGCAAGTACCAATGTGACTTTATCAGAAATATATTATGTACTTTCTAAGATTATTTAGACACCACTGACAAACGGTGAAGGAAAACATCGTGAGGAAACCTGGGCTTATAATTTCTAATTATAAGTTTGAAATTGCCAACCCGCATTGAGTAAGTGTGGTGATTAATGCTCAAAACGTTTCCGTGTAAGAAAAGGCCTTTAGTGGCCACTTATAGGCTGTTAATTATGATGAAATAAAACAAAAATTCATGTCAAAATTCAAAAAACCATTTAATTAAAATTTGATAACTTGTAAATAAGAAATAACAAGTTAATAACATTTAGATTGATTTATAAAAAGTGTTGTAGAAGCTCACTGTGCCCAAAATACCAAGTAAAGTGTAAAAACATCATTATTTTTTTCAACAATAAACAACAAAAAATGAGTTCAGTCGACATCTGAAAAGAAAAAGCTAATATTATTCACAAATAGACAGATTACTTTACCAATTTTATTTTATTAATTTTATACAACACTATTTTTTAATTAGTACACAAAATATGAGTCACTATATGAACCCGATACTGATCATATTTGTGTAATCAAAACTAAAAAAAAACGATATCCCAAAATCTATGCGTTTTAGTTACCTACAATTACGTTATCAGCTGTTGGACGCGGGGCAAGTTCGAGCGAGAGCATGCGAACGTGAGAGCGAGAGAATATGATTAATGAATACTACTATGAATGACCTGGAATAACCTGTACAATATTTCCATGAATTTAGTGACATTTTTGTATATAACTTTGCTGATTATGAATATTAGTTTCTGAAACTTTGCATAGATATTAATAAGAACTTTTTAAATAAGCCCTTTAAGTTTTTACACTAATTAAAAATAGTGGTGTATTACTAGCCGTTCCCCGCGACTTCGTCCGCATATAATAATGACTTCTGGCAAATTTTGGATTTTTTAATTAATCTTCTCCACGGTTAGTTGCAATGCTGTTTAACAAATGTGGGTTTTTTAAGTGTGAGAGAGCCATGCTTCAGAACGAATGACCCGGCTCGACTGGAGTGATACCACCAACGAGCAGAAAACCGACGTGAAGCAACGCTTGCGTTGTATTTCGTCGTGTAAGTGAGGTTACCGGAGGGCCAATTACAAACAATCATGTAAAACATACTTACAAACAATCATATATCAGTGTGTTCAGGACATATGACTCCGAAGCAGGTTTGACAGTAGTCCATGCACGGACGGTCGGCGACCTTCAGCGCCTCGCCTTTAGGACAGTACTGAATTACGCTGCAAAAAGAAACAAATTGTTAAAAATTATAACATTTTTAGTATTTGTTAATTTGGGATTACAATCCCAAAAACCGGATTCCATATTCCACCGGATTCCATATTCCGCCGGATTCCATATTCCGCCGGATTCCATATTCCACCGGATTCCATATTCCGCCGGATTCCATATTCCACCGGATTCCATATTCCGCCGGATTCGAAGATGTCCATGACCTTATTTTCAAAATCAAAATTGATTTTCTCCAAATAAACAGTGCGTGTGACTTTTTTGAATATATCTCGCGTGACATTTTATTATATATGTAAAAATAATTACATCGGCAAAATACCGATAATTTTTCAATGAACTGATTAATTTTTGAATGAATTGCGTGCAACAGTTTTTAGTATGAGGAGCCCCGATAACCCGTTAAGTCCTCCGCGACTCCGAAAATCCTAGGATGGGGCAACGTTTTTCAAAGAAAGGAAAAAAATAGATTTCAGGTTGAATCTGGTTCATAACACATAACATAACATCACGCCTTTTATCCCCGAAGGGGTAGGCAGAGGTGCACATTACGGCACTTAATGCCACTGTACAATGTAACACCTACTTTTCACTATTTATGTTATGAGTCCCATGTAATAGGGGGTGAGCCTATTGTCATATACCGGGCACAATTCCAGACTCCGTGCTACACCTGAGAATTTTAAAAAACCCAGTAATACTTTTGCCCGACCCGGGAATCGAACCCGAGACCCCTTGACCGGCAATCGCACTTGCGACCACTCGGCCAACGAGGCAGTCTGGTTCATAATTTCGGTAAATATAGGTACAGTAACATACCCATAATCTCCAGTCTGCATCCACTTCTCATCAGCAGCAGTGAGTTGGTCCCACCGACCCTTCGGTAGTCCGCAGATAAGCTCCGCCTTTACTGTACGAATCGCTATTATTGGCGCCGGGATGAAGCCTACACAGACATAACAAATTTAAAATTAATACTACACAAAATAACAACAACAAGGATTTCTTTGTGTTTCATGTAAGTGAGATAATAAGAGGCTCATTCCCCTTCCCCAATGCCTAATCCACAAATCCCAATTCTCAATATCCTATCTCAATGGTATTACATTGTTCTCACATTATTGAACTCAACGAAAGAATGTAACCAAAAATTGTATTGTGAACATGATTGAAAAAGAGTAACCTATGGAGTTTCTTGCTCGTTCTTCTACATATAGGAATCTACACTTTGGAACGAGCAAATAGAGCAACTAGAGGACTGACCTACAGACTGACATTTTTTCTTATTATTTAATATTTAAATATTTTGTTTTTACGTTCAAAAGTGCCTGTCCTGGTCTAATTGAAATAAATTATTTTGAGTTTGACTTCAATCCGTAATCCTCAATCTCCAATCTCATCATCATACCAGCCACAAGAAGTCCACTGCTGAACATAAGCCATTTATTATAATACTAGCTTCTGCCGGCGACTTCGCACGCGCAATCCCGTTTTTCCCGTTCCTACAAGATTTTCAGGATTTTTTTCTGTCATAAGAACCTTCCAAAATCAGCCAAATCGGTCTAGCTCTTCTCAAGTTATGGCGAGGCAACGGGAAACGGGTTTCATTTATATATATATATATACTAGCGGACCCAACAGACGTTGTCCTGCATATCCACTTGAATGTATAAACAAAAATTCATTCAAATTAGTTCAGCTGTTTAGGATAAATAACCTAAACATCGCTTGCAGCGCCATCTGCCGGGCTGATTTGTGAATCTAAACCATTCCCAGATCCCCTTGAACACACACAAACAATTTCATCAAAATCGGTCCAGTCGTTTGAGAGAAGTTCAGTGACATACACACTCACAGAAGAATCCTTACTAATATTATAAATCGGAAAGTGAGTTTGTTTGTTTGTTCCGCTTTAACACCGTAACTACTAAACCGATTGCTTTGAATTTTTGCAGACGTAAAGATAGAAGTCCAGATTAAATAATAGGGTACTTTTTATCCGGGAAAAATTTGATATTCCCGAGGGAAAACAAAAGTATTGGTATAGATGGCGCTGTGTACATCGGTATATGTCACATAGGCTACTTTTTATCCTTTTGTGACGCGAGCGAAGCCGCGGGTAAAAGCTAGTTATATATATAAAGATTGTCTGTGGATGTTAACATTATCCTCTGTGGCTGATGTTTATTCTAAATAATCTGTGGTCTGGCAATATACGTTTCGGCATTGTAAAACTACCTTCCTTCCTAGTTCTCACCTTGCAAAGCAGCTTCAAACCCAGTAGTAGGGTTACAATTCCGATCTCCGAGCAGCTTGCGATAATTCAGGTCTCCCTTAAACAGGATCGCCACGGCATATTGCAGTTTGCGGTATAGGTTGGGGTCGTACTTCTTCATATCTCTGTATACGTGAGGGTATGTCCAGTATTCTTCGGCCTGTGAAATATTTTGTAAATTTAATATTATAAGGCCCATTGCGCAAGGCATTTTTTTATACGCGCAAGCAATGCGCAGATGGCGTATAAGCGCTTCGTACAAGATTTGAAAGCAACCTTATAGTAACCTAAGCACACGGAGCGATCGTGAAACGCGTCTACGCGCTTTAGTCGCTCGTAACACGCAATAAAACAATTGGAAACCCAAGTTTGACGCGCAAATACGCATATTTAAAGCGTCATGCGCGCGGTTGTATCAATCAGTGGTTACAGCGCCGAGGACACGAGTTGCTTGCGCGTATAAAAAAAACGCCATGTGCTATGGACTTATCATACATACATGAGAAATTTTTTGAAAAATCAACACGATAACGTTACCCTTTTTAATCCCCGAAGAGGGATAATCACCAGTTACATATATTATGACATGATTGCAAAAATGTTGTTCTATTACTAAGAATTTATCGAAAAACCAAAATAAAACTCCTTTATCGCTTTGTCTTACCCGGGAATCTAAAGCGAGATCTCTTAATCGAAATCGCAAGTGCTTGCAAACGACTAGATAAATGAGGCATGACTTAAATTAGTTGGATTTCGTCCAATGTCGAGAAATGTGTTATCAAAATTAAAATTTTGATAAAGCAATCGGCAAAAAGCAAATTTCTGTTGAATATTTTAAAATAATTATAATAAATAATAATAATACGGCACGTATCGTGAGGAGGTTTCTGTCTCTGGAGCCCTAACCACCGGTAGCTTGGACCATGCTCCCGGTACTGGTCGGCTCCTATTTTTTATATTTTAAATATATTTTTTTTATTTTGTAAGTAGTATTTAAAAATGTAATTTATAGATAATTTTAAATAAATATATGGAAATAATAATATATAATAAGCGAAAACTTAACAATAGTACATGAACTTACCATGATCTGGAAGACTCCATCAGTGAGGTACTGGTTCCACTGCTGGCCGAGTGTCCTCAAGTTGTCCGCCTTGATAACTTTTACTGCACCTCCCTCACCTTCCGTGACTCCTAAAATAAAATATATAACATAAAACTCATAATATACATTTGCCACAAATGTACTTTATGCCACTGTACAATGTAACACCCACTTTTCACAATTTATGTTATGAGTCCCATGTAATAGGGGGTGAGTCTATTGCCATATATCGAGCGCAATTCTAGACTCCGTGCTACTACTGAGAATTTTTAAAATATCTAGTAATACTTTGCCCAGCCCGGGAATCGAAGACCCTTTACCCCGGCAGTTCCACTTGCGACCACTCAACCAGCGAGACAATAAAATAAAATATATAAGACTTATACTCATCATTTATAAAATCTTATAAGACAATTTAAAATATTTATCGAGTCGATTTATCGATTGCACAACTTGATTCCCCCTAGTCCTTTCCATCATCGTACCACAAGACAATCCGCGAAGCGTCACCGATTCATGGTAGATGTTCCACCCACACGCACGAAGCGCTTCGCATCAAGCTTCCTTGTGCGTACTGCTAAAGAGTGGAATTCTTTGCCAGAGTCTGTATTTCCTGAAGGGTATAACCTGGGAGTCTTCAAGGCCCGAGTGAATAGGTTGCTTATGGGACGACGTGCTCCATCGTAGACCGCATCATCGCTTACCACCAGGCGAGATATTGGTCAAACGTCGCCCCATCAAATATAAAAAAAAGAGTCCACTCGAGTAGTTTCGAACCACGTCAGGGACTCATAGCCATGGAAAATCGAGAAGTGAATAAAAGCACTAATAATAAAACACTTACCAGAAGACGCTTCTTTGCTGAAATTGCTGTTAGTGCAAGCATTAACGACGTATCTGAAAATAAAATTGTCTTCAATTGATTTTCGACATTATTACAAAAGGAATAAAGTATAGAATTCATAATTTTATTTTTATTCTGTACTTTAAATTGTATTTCATGGAACATACCTGAAATCTTTTTCAGTAACATCAGAGATGAACCACGGCATGTCTTTCACGTGGAATCTCACCTGAAAATTATTATTTCATTAGACTCTAAGTATAAAAAAGACTTATAGAAATTTTTAGCCCTTTTTTGAGGGGGGAAAATCATCGAATGACTTCTCCCTCCTGGGTGAGGCGGGAGGGAGTGTCAGACTCTTACTGACTAAAAACCACCCCGTTCCTACTCCTGCACTTCGAGCCGGAGCCCCGGTAACCCGTTAAGTCTTTGCCCTGGGATATGTTACCGGTCCCGAGTATCGAATCCGAGACACTTAAATAAAAATAAATTACCCCAATTATTTTTAGACGCATAACTCGATCAAATAGGTGCTAACGGTTTTTCCCCACCAGATGGCGCAAATTTGACTGCCTCGTTGGCCGAGTGGTCGCAAGTGCAACTGCTGGTCAAGGGGTCTCAGGTTCGATTCCCGGGTCGGGTAAAGTATTACTGGGTTTTTGTGGCAACAGGCTCACCCCCTATTACATGGGGCTCATAACATAAATAGTGAACAGTGGGTTTTACCCTGTACAGTGGCATTAAGTGCCATAATGTGCACCTCTGCCTACCCCTTCGTGGATTCGGAGTCGCGGAGAACCTAACGGGTAACCGACGTGCAGGAGAAGGAACGGGGTGGTTTTTAGTCAGTAAGAGTCTGACACTCCCTTCCGCCTCACCCAGGCGGGAGCAGTCATTCGATGATTTTCCCCCCTTAAAAAAAAGTGTAGTATAATATCCAAATTACCTTTTGTACTATCTTCTGTGCGACCAAGAAGTGCGCTAGACATAGATCCGCGAACAACTCATACCCAGTGTTGTCACATACAATATCTGAGGACAAATAAAACATATTAGGTACTTCGTGATGCAAGCAAACAGATCCCCGGTTGGTAATGGATAGCCCATTGATCGAAGGAGGCTGTATATATCAATGGGCTATGCTATAGAATAGGGTAGTTGCCAGGGAATGAAAATTAAAAATCTAAATAGTCCGTAAGTTAGATAATGAAAAAATATCAGACACGTATTTTTTTTATTTTCTCGTATAAAGTTACAATACATAGATAAAATGGAGTTAAGTTTAGGAGTGGGAGGTCGTTACGTCACAAAGTGCTACAAAATGTGACTTCATACGATATTTCAGATTAATATATTGCCAAAGTATTTAATTTCGTAAGAAAAGAAAAAATACGTGTCTAATGTTTTAAATAAATCTACCAGACGGACTTTACAATAAAATTTAGTTTACCCTATTCTTTTTTTAAACTACATACATTTTAAAAAACAGACTTCAACCCTGTCTTTCTCAAGTCGCTTAATATTTAATATACCTTACCATACCCCTCTGTGGTTCGAAACTAGAAGCTTTTCTCAGTATATTCACGTGAGTAACCCGCGAATTTTAGTTAATTTAGTATGTCTCATGATAGTTATTATAAAAACCTATTAAAACCTTCTCCTAAGTGTAAGAAACACTTTACTGAAAATCGTAACAAAATCGGTTCAGTCAATCGCTAGATAATCGCGCATACATACATTCATACAGGTCAAAGTAAGATACTCTTTGTTTTTTGAAGTCGGTTAATAACATCCAGCTAAGAACAACAGGTGCCAAGCAGAGCGGGTGGAACCGCGTGGAAGTAGCTAGGGGGGGGGGCGTCCATAAATTACGTCACACGTTTAGGGATAGGCAGGGGGTCGACGAACTGTGACATTGTGTGACAAGGGGGAGGGAGGGATTCTAAAGTTTGTGATGTCACATTTCTAAAACTATTATAAAACATGAAATATAATAGTATTAATGTTTTTTATTTTATTCAATTTGGAATTAATATTTTTTTTTAAATAAAACTGATCTCGGAACATTAAATAATTTTTATACATGCGTAATACTGCAAAAGGTGACGTCACACTAGGGGGTGGGGAGGTCTCACAAATGCGACTAGCTGTGACAAGGACGGGGGGGGGGGGGGTGCAAAAAAGCATAAAATTCGTGTGACGTAATTTATGCATGACCCCTAGTCACTTTAAAAATGCTTACCGAACATAACAGCTTGAGGAACAGTCATTTTAGCAGGACAGGGTATTTGTTTGGGAGCATCTTCTTTCTTTTCCTTCCCTTCTTTGCCTTCTTTCTCAGGAGTCGCTTCTTTCTTATCTTTTCCTTCTTTCGCTTCCTTCTCAGGGGTTGCTTCTTTCCCTTCTTCCGTGGGAGGTGCCTGCAATTTATATATGTTTTAATTTAACATCTTATTGTTCCCCAAACATAATTATTTAATAGGTACTGCTTTAATAGTACGATAATTAAATACTTTTTAACACGGTAAGGTACTACAATTGTTTTTATAATAACTATCGTGAGACATACTAAATTAACTTAAAATCGGGGGTTACTCACGTGAATATACTGAGAAAAGCCTTACAGCCAGTAGGCTACACGATATCGCCGCGAGCGCGCACGCTGCTTATGAGGAAGAGCCCCTATGTGGCTCGAAACTAGTAGAGCTATTCTCAGTATTTTCACGTGTATGATTTTTCACGATTATTAGTTAATTTATGTACTACACTTATGTCGAAATACTCAAAAGGTATAACTATATTAAGTATAGTTCTGTCACTACAAATTCTTTGTAAAAAGACAGAGATGGCACGATATTTACCTACAAATTAAACATGTAGCCTTTCGTGTTTTCATTAGTTACCGCACGGAGCAACTCTTTGTGTGATCCACAGATTGTTGTTCCGGGTCTGTGTGTCATGTGTATGTGAACTTGTATGTTTGTAAACGCACCCACGACACAGGAGAAAATCCTAGTTTGGGGCAACAATTTATCGAAATAAAAGAAAAAAAAATTGGTTGCCTGTAAAGTCGGTATACGGGCGAAAGTTTTACGTGACAACGACTTTGAGTGGTATAGCGCAAGACATAAACCGGTGTGTATGCCTATCTCTCTCACTCTCTCTATCTCTCTATCTCGCTCTGTCTCTCTCGCTCTTAGGCGGGCTAACTGTGCTCGAGTGGAAGGGACGCGTGCCTTTCACTTTTTATGTCTGTCTCTCTCGCTCTTAGGCGGGCTAACCATGCCCGAGTGGAAGGGACGCGTGCCTTTCACTTTTTATGTCTGTCTCTCTCGCTCTTAGGCGGGCTAACTGTGCTCGAGTGGAAGGGACGCGTGCCTTTCACTTTTTATGTCTGTCTCTCTCTCGATCTTAGGCGGGCTAACCATGCCCGAGTGGAAGGGACGCGTGCCTCTCACTCGCTCTCATTGTGAGCGCATAACGTGAGCGGAGCGTAACGCAGTTTCTTGAAGTGTCACCCGGCAAACCAATTTATAAGACGTTGTCACGTCAAAACAAATCTATTTCAGATACAAATGCGTAGGTACTTTCTTATTTTATGTAACAATAACATTCTACATTACGTTACAAGGCTTTTCGTATAAAATTGCAGCTGGCTACTAGTATCTACATCAAGAGCCCGTGACGGTCCCTTAGTCGGGTACACGACACCCACGGGAAGAGTTATGGGTGGTGATAAATTTACTCTAATCTACTGCCAGCATAACTCCTACTGGTAATACTGTATCTACTGTCTGTAGAACTACACAATACTAACTTCTTGTTTACATAAGGGCACGCCGGCGAGTGTGGCCAATCTATGGCAACTGCATTTGAACTTGAACGTCGTGTTCTGTAATGTAAATACCAAACCCTATTATTTGTGAGACGTAAGCAGAGACGGATGTATGCCTTTTTTTTTTTAAGGGGGGAAAGTCATCGAATGCCTGCACCCGCCTGGGTGAGGCGGAAGGGAGTGTCAGACTCTTACTGACTAAAAACCACCCCGTTCCTTCTCCTGCACGTCGAGCCGGAGCCTCGGTTACCCGTTAGGTTCTCCGCGACGCCGAATCGGCATCGGCTCTATTGGGCCCCATCTGTGGTGGTCTGATGGCTCTTTGAGGCGCGCGCGGAACGCTACGCGCCGTACGCTCGGGAAGGATGTATGCCTAGAGATATGGTAATACCACTGAACTGTCGACACAACCTATTTTTTTTTTAAGGGGAGTGTTCGGTGTAAACCCGAACATCTGCTAGCGAAGCAGTTTTCATGCATTGTTTTAACATGAACATACGCTACACTGTCGTGGTGGCTTGGAGGTTTAAGACGCCTACTTCTCATGCATGAGGGTGCGGGTTCGAAACCTACCAACGGCAAGTACCAATGTGACTTTTTCCGAGTTATATGTACTTTCTAAGATTATTTAGACACCACTGACAAACGATGAAGGAAAAACATCGTTAGGAAACCTCGGCTTATAATTTCTAATTATAAGTTTGAAATCGCCAACCCGCATTGAGCAAGCGTGGTGATTAATGCTCTAACCTTCTCCGTGTGAGAAGAGGCTTTGCTCAGCAGTGGGCATTTATAGGCTGTTGATGATGATACGCTACATCAGTGTAGGTACTTGTCGATCGCCAACAGAACGGGTGCATTCATCAAATAACATAAACATTAACATTTCTAACATTTTTAACATTAAACATTAGAACTCTTTATAAACAATAAACTTTTACAGTCACTTATGCGTTTGATATCTACCTACGACCTTACACCACGTACAGGGGGTATCCATAATCCCCATACTTGGCAAGGGGTTTGGGGATCGCAATTGTATCATCAAAAGTTCAGTTAGAGGATGCTGCCCCTCTAATGGGTTACCCCCATAGTCTAATTAATCTACACACTTGGTTAATTGCTTGGGGATTGTAGTAATATTACCGGATACTGATACCGGACACGAAATCTTTGATGACGCGCGTCATGTGAAACAAGTGAATTTATATCTGCAAATAGGCTACAAGGCAGCACTATTACACGTCAATTTTATCAAGCGAACGATGAGGTCGACATTTCCTAACTGACTACCCACATACTCTGAGAAGAAATGCCAAACCAAAATAAGAGGTCCGTCTCTTTTAAAGTCCAGACAAATATGTATAAAAAGATTATGTGTGAGAACCGTGCAAGTTCTTTCTGTAGTGGCCGTCGTAATTTAAGTTCTGCATAGTCTCATTATTTTAATTTCACTTCACAAAAAACAGTTTACGATTTTGTCAAGTTTACTATAGACAGTCAGTCAAATTAAAAACATAGGGTCATGCACTGTCAATATTATTATTTTACATTTCATCATCATTAGGTATATTGTTACAATTATTGTCATATATGTCAATAAATTAAATAAACAATGTTCTCGTTATCATTATAATCCAACTAATAATAATAATTAAATCTATTGTAATTATTATTACCTTAATTTTAACAGCCTATAAATACCCACTGCTAACCACAGCATCTTCTCACACGGAGAAGGTTTGAGCATTAATCACTACGCTTACTCAATGCGGGTTGGCGATTTACACACTTATAATTAGAAATTATAAGTCCAGGTTTCCTCACGATGTTTTCCTTCACCGTTTGTCAGTGGTGTCTGAATAATCTTAGAAAGTACATATAACTCGGAAAAGTCACATTGGTACTGGTACTTGGCGTTGGTAGGTTTCGAGCCCGCACCCTCATGCATGAGAAGCGGGCGTCAGAATCTTGGAGCCACCATGACACTATAACTAAATTGTAAAAGGAATAATTACATACATACATAACTTCACGCCTGTCTCCAATGGGGGTAGGCAGAGACTAAGGAACGCCAATTACTACGATTCTTACATACCTCTTTCGCTTCATTAACAGTCATCAATCTTTTCATGCATGCTCGTCAGTTAAGGGTACTTTTAATTTGGCCCTTCTTTCATATATGTCCGTTTAGGGCGCCCTCTACCGACGGCCCCATTCATATCCGCTCTGTATACTTCTTTCGTTACTCTACTTTCATCCATCCTTTCTACATGTCCAAACCAGCGTAACATTCCCTTTTCAATCCTTGTCACTACATCGTCTTTCAATCTACACCTCTCTCTAATAACACTATTTTTAACTCGACCAGTCAATTTTAGTCCACACATACTTCTCAGGGCTCTCATTAATCCTGCTTTCATGCTTCTTCTGCCACACCCATGATTCACTACCATACATAAGCGTTGGTGTCAATACACACTGCATTACAGCAAGTCGAGCTTTGCTGGATATTATTATACTCGACATTACAGAGTGTAAAGCACCATTAACACTATTTCACTCTCCTTTCAATATCCCCGTCACACTTTCCATCTAAAAGGAATAATTTAATTTATAGTGATAAAAGCGCTAGGGGGACCGGTTCTTTGGTCCCAAGTGTAGTACAATAAAAAAAGTCTATACACACCGCATTGACAGCCTTCATCATGGCATCAGCTTTGTTCACGATTTGATCGGCTATTTTAGACGTGTCGTCCACCAACAACTGAAAAAATAAACATAATATGGCATGTTACAATGAAGCAAGGTTGCACAAACATACTTATTTTTTATTAAAAAGCGTTTTTTATGGCATAAGCCGGTAAACGAGCAGACGGATCACCTGATGGTAAGGAATCGGCGTCGCCCATGGACACCTGGAACACCAGAGGCGTTACAAGTGCGTTACCGACCTTTTGGGGATTAGGAGTTTGAGGATCGTTGGGGATTCAGGAATTGGGGAGATTGAGGAAGGGGAGGGTAATTGGGCCTCCGGTAACCTCACTTACACAACGAAACACAACGCAAGCGTTGCTTCACGTCGGTTTTCTGTTCGGCCGTGGTATCACTCCGGTCGAGCCGGCCCATTCGTGCCGAAGCACGGCTCTCCCACACTTACCGTACCTCTTGAATCTTGACACTAATTGCTTACCATCAGGAGGCTTACTCTTAAATCCAATTCCGATCGATCGACATTGGAATTGTAAAATTTTGTACTCTTGAGTTGCAACACTAGCGCCCATTGCATCCGTATTGCGTGGATATTGAATGAACTAAATGGTATTAAGTTTGGTTTTATATTCCGTACTCTAAATGCTATTTTAGCAGCTACGATAGGGGTTGTATAGTTTTGACATTGAATAATTATTGAGATTTTATTGGATTGAAATTGAATTGACTGGTGATCCGAAAGCTCGTTTGCGTCCTATTTCATAAAATCCTTACTAATATTATAAATCGGAAAGTGAGTTTGTTTGTTTGTTTGTTTGTTCCGACTTAACGCCGTAACTACTAAACCGATTGCACTGAATTTTTGCAGACGTAAAGTTAGTAGTCTGGATTAAATAATAGAGTACTTTTTATCCCAAAAATATTTGATATTCCCGAGGGAAAACAAAAGTATTGGTGTAGATGGCGCTGTATGTATTGGTATATGTCACATAGGCTACTTTTTATCCTTTTGTAACGCGAGCGAAGCCGCGGGTAAAAGCTAGTAATCTATAAATCATATTTCTTACCTTATCCTTCAAATCAAGAATCATTTGGAAAGGATCGTGGCTGATGACAAGAGGTGCTTGTGGCGCGGCGTCCTTAGCGGGCCCCTTCCCCTTCTTACCCTTCTTCGGAGGGGGAGGAGGCGGGGGAGGGTTCAGGCGTAGTTTCTCAGTGGCGTCCTTGGCTGCTTGGATTAGGTTGACTTGGGACCCGAGGGAGAGGGAGAGATCGCATTTATTCGCCCAGAGACATATCTGAAAGAGGTTTCTGTGTTTTAGATATGGTGGTAAAATTCTCAGTAGTAGCACGGAGTCTGGAATTGTGTCCGGTATATGGCAATATGCTCACCCCCTATTACATGGGACTCATAAAATAAATAGTGAAAAGTGGGTGTTACATTGTACAGTGGCATTAAGTGCCGTAATGTGCACCTCTGCCTATACTTTCGTCTTCTTAAAATGGATATTGAAAATGTAATATACTAAATTTTTGCCCAATGTGAAAAAACTGAGTGTGAGTAAGACCTTCATTTTATTTATTCAATCTAGTTTGACTGCGACTTGTGTTATGGACTCCATGCTATAACGGTTGAACTAATTATCAATTATATCGTGCTCATACGCCTTGCTACTATTTAAATTTTTCTAAGTAATAAGTATGTATGTAATACTTTTGACCGACACAGGAATCGAACCTTTGATTCATTGCTTGGTAATAACGCTTAGTTTAACTTTATAATAAAATCTACAAATAAAAAATATAATACATACATAACCTCACTGCTATCTGCCATGGAAGTAGGCAAAGAATATGGAACGCCAATTGCTACTATTTTTATGTGTCACTTTTGCTTAATCAACAGCCTTTTTTAAAATAAGAGTCTTCAAATATAAAGTTACCTTCAATAAAGTTACGAAGTCAGCTTTCCGTTTGTCTTTTTCCGACTTGTGGACCATGTTCACCATTTTGTCAGCGACAATGCACATCAATTCTACGTTGTTGTCAAAAGCACTCTTCTTTTGTTCTTCAAAATAATCGAAATTCTGTAAACCTTTGCTGCAATTGAAGAAAATTTGTTATAACGCCATCTATCGGGAAAAAGCGGAACTTAAAAATCAAAATGTTATAAAAATATCTTATTGTAATAAAAAAAATAAAATGATTTTTATTTTCATTACAAATACATTTTATAATGAATTTAAATCGCTGAACGTAAAATGATTGCCATCTTATTTTAAGCGCCATCTATTGACTAGTAGCTCACAGACAAGTTTTCAGTTCACGAATTACAAACTAGATGGCGTTGATTCAAAATATCTTTACGTAATATTATTATTATAATTTCTTACTTACGTCAATTCACAACCTTCTCTGAGCTTCCTGTACAAATAACATTCGGTGAACATCCAAGTATTATTGAAATATTTCTTATTATCTTGATTCTCAATCCAAATGTTCCATTTTTTAGCATTAGGCGTATCTAGAGTAAATGGATCATAATCTTTATTCGTCACTAAATCGTTCTTCAACTTGACCACAGATTGCATAAAGTTATTGAGATCTTCCTCCGACTGCGAAAAGAAAATTGTTGATTATTTGGAAACTTCATTACCATGGCAGCGGATTCCCGCGCCAATTTGTTTTTTTTTTCTTTACAGTTACTTTAGAATGCAAACACAATACTTTTATAGCATCGACTTAAGAAAAAAATTGAAAATTAGGTTAAATTAGTGAAAAAAACGAATTTTTTTTTTTTACTAAATAAATACATACCGCGCCATTGGCAGATTTAATATTGGCTCCATCTCTCGACAAATAATCGATTATTTTAGTTAATATCACTGGTATCCTGTCTTTCAGAGAAAAATACGCGAAGCTCCTGAAAATAAAAATAAATCCTTTTTACGAATTATTTATTAAATAAAAAATACTTCTAATTAAAAAATATTATTTAAAAAAAAACAAAATTTCAACAAATATTTGATTTAAAAAAAAACAGCAAAAATATATATTTCAAAAATAAATCAAGAAAATATACCACAAATAAAATAAAATAAATATACAAATAATAATAAAAAGAAAATACGAACAAAAAGAAAGCCGCCCGAACAGGGACTTGAACCCTGGACCCTTGGATTAAAAGTCCAATGCTCTACCGACTGAGCTATCCGGGCTGTACAAAACAACGCGAAATTATTGATTGTACTACAGCAGCACGAAATTAGGACAAATTCGGAATTTTAAGAAATAATTGTCATCTTTAATACATAAGCCATAAGGTTGATAATTCAAGGAGTATCGTTCCTCACAATTTCATTATCAGGAAACTTATGATTGAAATAGAATTTTACTGCAATGATTTAGAGTCGTTTTTTGTTTGACAAAATTATGTCAAACAATTTCCCTTACATTTCTAAAATTAGTACCATGGGCGACATATTTACGTCATTTATACTAACATAATTTTTGTAGTAACATTATAAGTACAAGCTACATATTCTACAATAATTATATAAAGCTTAAGAATTTCTTTGTTTGAATACACTAATCCCCCGACCGACTGGTCCCATTTGAATAATTCTGTTGGTGGTACATACTGGATTTATCGAGGAAGGCTATAAAACATACACACTACGATCAATTGAAATCATATCATACAAAATACCTAAACAAAGGTGTAATAAGTTTATTTGTTAACTTTAATTATTTTTTATTAATTTATTTAAAAAAAAGGATCTTTTGAACAAAAAATGCATCATTGATTCCAACTTCAAATAAAACTTGTAGAAATCATTCTTGACTTGCATAGTATTGAAATTTTCACCAAAGAGATCTTACGAGGAACTCCTGCCGATCACAGATAATAAATATTGAAGTAAGATAATAATATCCCAGTTATGAACAGCAGAACACAGATTTTTTTCATGTAGTGAAAGATAAATCGCTCATTCTGCCTGGATTGTCATATTGGCTAAAGTATTATAGCAGTAATAAAGGTTACTACAGCTCTAATTAAATTACTGTTGTATTCATGTACATAATCCATGTTTTCTTTTGTTAGTGCCAGATAACACAATATGATGTTGTTAAAGGAAGTAAACATTATGAGATCGTTCAATATTATCAACAACATTAGGTAAATTAATATTACGTAAAAAAATTGATTTTAATTTCAAAAAACGAATTCTGACTAATATTTTCGCGGGAAATGATCAGGTGATAGGACGATTTTTTTTTAATTGGCCTCAGGTATGAACATCATACGTACTTTTTAAATGTCCCTTGCAGTGGCAAATTCATAGGCGTCATAGTATCTAAGAATGGGGATGGTCTATTCACGGTGATAAACGGTCCGCCATAGATAAAATCGGGTTTCGTGTAATAGTCCTCATCATCAGAATTTTGATGGACAAAGCGTTGAACTTCTTCACCTGTTGATCTCGTAGGTGAGGACGTTTTACTTGACTTCTTGGACTGTGTCAGGTCCGCAGGTGTACCAGGCACCTTTGTTGGTGTACCTCCTTTAACAGGGGATTGTGGCAATGAAACCCCTTTAACCGGTGAACTCATTTTTTGTAGTTTTTGTTAATTTTTTATGCCATAACCGAATGGATATTATTTAATTTTGAGAAAACATTCGAATGTTGTGATTTTTCTTTTTGACGGATTAATGAATAATGACAGTTGCGTCAGCTGCAAAAGTGCCAATTTTGACAATGACAGTAACAGCTGAGCGTAGTTTTCGAAGTAAAAAATGTCTATGGAAATCATAAAGCAAGCAGTTTATTGTGCCAAAATAGGTTTGTAAATAAAAGATTGAATGCTTTCGTCAATTCAACAAGTCCTCCTTATTCTTCCTTATTCTTAACATAAAATTAAATATAAATAATCGGAACTATAACGCAGACCTTTTTCATATTATTGATTAAAATAAAAATGAAATTAAATAAAAATAGAAACATTAATTTTTTAAAATATATTGTCATCAATAGCAATGCCCACGTGGTGCCCCCTGCCACAACCCACGTAATCTGTAACACGTAACATTTGCCAAGTAATTGCTGCCACGTAGCATAATCCACGTTTACAAACAATAAAATACATGAGATGAGATAATCAATCAAGATAGTCTGTCGTGTGATCTACCATTTACCGAGTAGTATTTACTGCGTAGATTATCCGATAATTTAAAAAAAAGAATGCAAGTTACTTGTCATATTTATGCACCATATTTCTGTGATGAAAACAAATGTTGTCAATACGAAGAAATTAAGCAGAATCTTCATTGTAATTGCTAATTTAATAAAAGACAAAATAATAAAGTTTGGTCTTGGTTTTGTCCTTGATTATAATTTGCGTTTAAATATAGCCTGCGGTCCCCTGCAGTAATTGAAATTGGCGGTATCACATCACAGAATGTTACTATTTAATTTACTGTAATTGGGTTTTCTGCCATTGTGACTGTTTAAAAATAAATAAATAATTTTTTTCTGCAATAATTCTACCAAAACACATTTTAAAACCAAGTTTGAAACTTGAAAATAGAAAAAATACCTGTCTTAGACAAAAAATGCAATGGTCGAGCGAGGCGATGGTTATAAAGTTCTTGAATTAATATCTTTATTTATATAAAAAATTCATCTCGTATATAATTACTACATTTAATTAGTTACCTATGTACTATTAGTGAGTAGCCAATAATACGCAAAATATTATTGATTTTAAAAACGAGAAGTAAATTTGAATATCCCGCGCAAATTATATCAGAAGGTCAAAATAGCTCTTATTCCACTCGAAGCTTGAAGAAAATACATAGTAACAACTAAAATAATACAAATTGTCTACTAACCTCCCATACATTCCACATAGATCAACCTCAAATGGAGTTTGAAGCCGCATCACTGGTAAATCCGTGTCAATAAAACAACCATTATTATAGTTGTCGTCGTCCATTTTCGCGAAATAATTGGATTTCCGGTTCACAAAAAGAAATATTGACAATCAGTTTCTTGCAGATGATGAAAATTACAGAATATTACGTCAAGTGTCGGGTTATAAATAGAACTGGCTCCTAAACTATTTAGCAAAGATATCAGAACTCCTAACCATGCAACGATCGGAACTGTTTTGAATGTAGTTTTTACAGTTTGTTACATATAAACAAGCTCTTTCTTGATTGATAACAATATAGGTAATAACAATGTAGTACCAACTTAGATAGGCAGTTGGAAATGTCGCTAGTTCCTTCTGAAAGCGAGTATTTTGTTCTAGTTTATTTAGTTTCTATTTTATCCGCCTGAACAGAGTTGTTGGTAGAGAAACGTTATTGAACATGACCTTGCTGGCTAATGATAGTTACAGTGTGTGTTACTAGATGGCGTTTATTGCAAATAAAAGAAATTGGGGGGAAAATACAATGGACATCATTTTAATGTATACCTAGTAACTACTCATCAGATTCAAGCTTTCAGAAAAATTACTAGACTATAGACCTATATATGTACCTACCCATTCCTTCCATTATTTCCCCTGCTACGCGCAGTGCAAACTGTGCAAAACGTGGTATTATAACATGTTTCAGTAGGAAGAGAAGGTACAATATAGTATGTAAGAAGGATGAAATAAACATATAGGTCTTATGGTCACTTATCACTTTTTCTGAGGGGAGAAATCATCCAATGATTCCTCCCGCCTAAGCCGAGACGAGCGCACTTACTAAAAAAAAAACACCCTTTTCCTAATTTTTTTATGGAATAGGAGGCAAACGAGCAGACGGATCACCAGATGGTAAGCGGTGCGAGGCAGGAAGCTACATGAGAAGCGCACAGTTGTGGCCTGCCAACCATCTCTATATGATGGGGATGCATAAGCTGTCGTGAGGGTCGATTGGCGAAAAGATGCGGCAGGAATCAAACAATTCCTCAGAGCACTCCCCGTGGTATAAGCGATAGAAAATGCACAATGAAGCTACATCTCTTCGCAGTCCCTACTGAGCCCCCATCTGCGGTGACTCTTTCGAGGCGCGCGCGCGGAACGCGTTGTTCAGGGCATGGAATCGCTGGATACAGGTCCCTTCAAATTAACATTCCCAACAGAGGCCGGTTTTGCATCAGAAAGTCATTGGTGCGTTCTTATGGGTAATGATGATGATAAATAAAATACAAAGATGTTCATTGCAAATAGCATTTATTAGAAAACATGCAAATCCTTGTACCTTTAGTAACAAGTTTAAAAATACATAAAAATTAATAATGTGTACTTAGTGTACCTTTAGAATTCTAAATAAGTATGTTAAAACATTTAATTTAGAAATTACATAGAAAAACGATAAAAGCATAGCAAAATTTTGTTCAGGCAACATTTTATGAACGAAAAACTGCATATTATAAAATATCTAAGAACCGGTTTCAAGTCAAGTTTGACACTTTAAATCTGGACTATTATTATAAAAAAAAACATCATAATTATGGCTACTATAACATTATATAGACCTTTCTTTTCTCTATCATAAAACATTATTCTAAAACAAGAAACCAAACAATAGAAAATCTGGAAACAAAAAACACATTCTAACTTTAAAACTCATTTGTACTAAAATCATCCTTAAAACCTTAGTACTTTATTTCAAAACCAACACCAATGCTAAGCGAATAGCAACCTAATTGCATAGACAATCAAAGTCCGAAAATTCATAAAATTAAATCACATTTTTGAGAACATATTTCATAGTCACATCTTAGAATCTATTTAAAATGAGCACATTGGACAAAGATTATTACAATCAATGGAGTGCTCACATATTTAAAATTATACAAACAAATATAAAAAAGAGTATTTCTACCCAAAGGTATACTAAATACTATACTTAATAATATGTTATAACAGAATAGGGATGATGACAGGGTATGAAAATTAAAATCTAATTAGTCCGTCAGTTAGGTAATGAAAAAATATTAGACACGTATTTTTTACGAAAACAATACTTAGATAAAACGAACCAAGTTTAAAAGTAGGAGCTAGCTAGGTCATTTTTGGGTATAAAACGTACACAAAAGAGACGGCACGCTATATTTTTCACATCAATATATCGTCGAAAGTCTCTGTTTTCGTAAGAAAAAACACGTGTCTAATGTTTTTAAATAACCAGGCGTACATTAAAATAAAAAATAGTCATCTACCCTATTTTAAGAAGTCTAAATACTAAATAAGTAATTAATAAGACATGTCACATGAACATCTATTTGTTTGCCAGCCATTTGCAACGAACAAGGTGGCCAAACACATAATTTTAATGACTATACAAGAAAATCATAGAAATTAAAATAAGTACTAAGTAAATTAACTAAAATTCGCGGGTTACTCACGTGAGTATACTGAGAAAAGCTCTACAGCCAGTAGGCTGCGCGACATAGCTGGAACCGCACACGTTGCTCTTATATGAGGAAGAGCCCCTCTGTGGCTCGAAACTAGTAGAGCTTTTCTGTATATTCACACGAGTAACCCGCGATTTGTAGTTAATTTAGTATGTCTTACGATAGTTATTATAAAAACAAAGTACTATAAGTACTCTTTAACTATAAGAATCCAATGCAAATAATATTTACAGTCATCAAGTCAATTTTGAGTTCACAATAAAGGCGTTTTTGTGCTCACCAGGTGGCTCCATTGTCGGCGTTTTCCCAATGGAAAATTTTCTAGTGTTTGAAAAACCAATTTTTTGACAGCTACAGTAACTTGGCAAATAAACCTTCACGCTGTATTAGTGCCATTTGGTGAGCAGAAGTATGATAGGTCTCATTTAAAATAGTCATTCATAATTTGAAACTTATTCAATACTTTGTCATAAATGTAGGGACTAAAATCCAATGGAATTTTGCATTTAGATTGCACTTTGTAATCATATTTTTAATTTCTTGTCTACACTCGTCATTGTGATATTCTTCAAGCAATTTTGAATTCTATTTCACATGTATTAAGAGTGCAAGGAAACTAAGTAGTCCTTGATATTTATATGCAATAGAGCTCAAAATCACTTGAATTATGTACCCTGTTTACATGATTTCCAAAAAGAGTATAGGAATAAATAGGTACAAAATTATAATAACGAAAGTGATTATGTTGTACAGCTTACTAAAAAAACTTGTCCATGAATATAGGCCCATGCATAGCTTTGAAACTAGTTGAGTCAGCTCAATAAGTTATGTAAGTAAGCCATACATTATAACTACATAATTTAATATGACCCACAGTAGTTATAATACAAGATAAAAGTGATCAAAATCCACTATCAGTATTATCTTATAAAAAATGTAAGATTTGGATCAAAATATGCATATAGCTGTCAAATTTAAGTATCATGATTTATATAGTTGAAGAAAATCCGTCAAAATCATAAAAATGTAAGTTAGAAAATAATAATACAAGCATGATTGTTTCACTTTGAAATATTTATAAAAATACATGGAGTAAAAAATCATTGGAGGGACAGTTGTAAGTTTATTATTGCAAAGAGAACATACAAAAAACAGCAATGGTTAAAGGTCTTAGGTACTATGTTCACTATATGGTCTAAGTTAACCCTCCATTAATTTGTTACTCCATGTTTAATTGAACATTGATAAATATTAAAATAAGTATATGGCTATAATGTACATAGTGTAGTGATTAACGCAATTTTCAAATCGTCAATTATTAAAACTTATTCTATTCAAGTTAAATAGTACCAGTGATACAAAAATGAACTAAAATAGTCATCAAAATATGAAGTAAAAAATTGTCCTGACATGATTAAAGGAAATAGTCTTTATTGTTTAGAACATAAAGATGCTTATAAGTATTGTATGTTAAAATCATGATTTAATATTACACCATTTTAACTTACAAGTGGTGAATAGTGAATATTGAGGACATAAAGTTTATAACTGTAGAATAATCTGTTGGCATCATTAGTATATCATAGGTATACACTAGTAAATACTAAAACATTACCTTAATTACCCATAGATAAAAAAAACAGTACCTCCTCCTTTTATTTTAAAGTCGGTAAAAATACTAGTCTAATGAGATCATTGGTTTTAAGGAAATATTAAAAGTATATTAGGTACCCAATATCATAAGAGTCTAATTCCATGTACGATATGATTATTATTTAGTTATACTAGAAAATACATGTTTTTTTTATAATGGTATATACCATTACCATGGAGGAAGTACATATGTACTTCTACATCAAATTTTTTTAGCAATAGTGTAGTAGGCAGTATATGAAAAGTAAAAATGTAATTAGTTAGTAGTGAAGTAGTAGTGATTTGAAATATCCTGACGTCACAGGATATTTCAAATCAATATAACGTCGAAATTATTTAATTTTGTAAGAAAATAATAAATGTGTCTAATGTTTTAAAATAATCTACCAGACGGATATTAAAATAAAATTTAATATACTAGACCCTATTTTTTCATGCATGGCACATTACAAGAGGCATATTGCAAGAATATTGTACAAACTTAAGCTATTGATTTCTTAACTAGAAATAGGGACTTGATACTTCAAAATATATATTTTTCCAATAACAAAAATCGTTTAAATCTATGTCCAGTCAATGAATTAATGAGATACATCAAGCAAGCTATATTTCTGCTTAACTTAAAATAAAGATAGATCCATATAATCAGTCATTAATATTTATTAATAACTATTTTAAATAAAATAGTTTTTTAGTCAAAAATAGTAACTTTAAAGTATAGTTTTTACACTATTCAGTGTATATTACACAAAATGTTATCAAAATCTACGTTATTTTTATAGTTTAATTTTAGTCAAAGAAAATATAATTAAAATCGTCTCCTACCATTGCTTTTTATCCTGGTGTTTTTCAGTGTAATGGTGGTGGACTGCAGCGGTCTGCCATTGTTGCTGCTACGGAGTACTGGACAGTATGTGCTGTAATTATAAAGGATTAGAGTTAATTTCAGGTTACCACCTATAATATAGGACTGAAAGCGGATATTACATTGTGCGCCCCTAGCAACTAGATTTGTAATCACCAACCCGCATTGAGCAAGCATGGTGATTAATGCTCAAACTTTCTCCGTGTGAGAAGAGGCTTTGCTCAACAGTGGGCATTTATGGGCTGTTGATGATGCCCCTAGCAACCCCGTCTAGGTCTAAAGTAATGATAAAAGATTTTTAACAAAAATTCATTCCAGTTTTCTAAGAAATACAGTTACAATTGTCTTATAAACAAATTGTATCACCAAGCTGTTGAAAGTCTATATAGGTATATAAGTATAGAGCAGAATAGAAGTATAGAGGGGTTTCGGGTTCGATTCCCGGGTCGGGCAAAGTATTACTGGTTTTTAAAAAAAAAATCTCAGTAGTAGCACGGAGTCTGGAATTGTGCCCGGTATAGGCTCACCCCCTATTACATGGGACTCATAACATAAATAGTGAAAAGTGGGTGTTACATTGTACAGTGGCATAATGTTCACCTCTGCCTACCCCTTCGGGGATAAAAGGCGTGATGTTATGTATGTATGTAAGTATAGAGCAGAATTTAGAGTCAGTGGGTGTATCCGTTTCAAAGATTCCCAGAGAGTGGTATTCCCAAGACTCAAACATATATCTCTAAACAATTACAAAATAATTCTGTAAAAGTTCTTAGTGCTATCGTGAGAGTCCTAGGAGCTGCTAAAGAACTAGATCACAGATACAAGATAAAGGTAAGGTCAGATCCGATTCTTGGATTCGGCGCCGGTGTGTGACATGTTTTCGAGTGAAAGGAGATTATTTTTGCCAGAATGCTTGGAAGTTTTGCGAAAGAGATGATTGAACTATAGTATCTAATATTTTTTTTAAATGTATTTTTTCTTACAATTGAATATATTATGTATTGAGTAGATTGGTTTTTTGTACCGTTCTATTCATATAAATAAATAAAGGTACTTACATAGTATGAGCATTATCGCCAGAAGCTCCACATGTGGAACAGACATGTGACCTCAAAATAGGACAGGTCACAATGCTCTGGTTGCCAACATTCTCCCTCACACAATGGGTCATATACACTATCGGAGTTTCTCCATTCTTCCTACAAAATGTGCACATTTTATCCGACTTTGAATCCTGATGTCTTGAAGAACTTGGGGCATAGTTCGGTCTGCTCGGCACCCTGAATGGTGAAGTTGGCATTCTTGGTGGCAATTTTGTAGTTGGTGTGGTCGGTGAATAATTTGGTGATGGAGTGTAGTTTGATACTGGAGATAGTTTGACCGGAGGCTTGAATTCAAATCCTTTCTTTTCAGTGGGGAACAATTCATAGAATATGTTCTGTGTGTAGTTCTTTTGTTCAATTTTGACGCTTGGTGGTGTAGGTGGGAATAAATTGTGTTCATCTGGCTGCCAAATTGAATTAGAGAACTCAATATCATGTTCAAGAGGTTTTAAAGTTGGTGGTGGCTCAGTATTGTCAAAAATCCTTCGTCCTATGATCGGACGTTGACGTCTGACTACAAACGGGGTCTCGAAGGATTGTCTGTCCATGTCTGAGCGGTGAGACAGGTCTGGGAAGGAATCTGGAGATAGAGAGTCTGCTGAGCTTGATGAACGGTTCACTGGTGTGGATTGTCTGAATGGTGAACTTATTGTCATGTTAGGCAGTGCACTTGGAGACCGGTAAGGATCTGGAACTGATATAAATATTATGAATTACTTACCTACTTTGACTACTTACTAATAAGTCTGTTTATAGTTGGAATGTTAGTAGTTTCTTTTTAACATCGTCAAAAACATTATATTGAATGCAATTATACGAAGATAAGGCTTTCAAAAGTCGGAATTATTACGTTAATCTCTGAAAGTAAGACAGAAAATTACGATATTCAACTCTACAATGTTTGCTTTTGTTAAAAACAAATGCGATCGAAGCTTCAATTTGTTTTGAATTAAGTTGATGGTAAAAAGTAAAACGACGTGATTTAGCAGTTTCGTCTAGTGGTTTACTTTGTAAAGAAGTCAGAACTTTTAGGAATTAACTTGAAAAGTACAAGTATAAAACTACGCAACTTAAAAACTCACCATTTTCAGTCGGCCGAGGGAATAAACGGTTTATTTCAGTCATGTAATCGCACGTACTCTTCGTAGGATACATTTTCGGACCTGAAATAACACCAAAACAATAAATAAATTAAAAAATATAATTCACTATTTACATTTTGTGTAGAAAAAAAATCAAATCATCCATTTTGTAAGTTTACGGAAGTGACGACACAAATTTTAGGTTTTTAGGCAAAATGGTCGAATTAGAATCTTATTAGATTTTATAGTAAGATAGTACAAATATTAAAATTAATATTTAAAAATAACTACAAAAATAATAACATTCTATTTAATTACTTTTTGTCAATTTTTATATTAAAAATATTCTAAGCCTGGATGCTATATACCTACTACAATGATAGAATTATGTACTATTTCGTCTAGATACCAAAGCATTTATTGAATTAATAATGCTTGTTAAGTTTACATTGATGAACTTTACATCATTTCTAATATCACTTATCCAACACACACAGCCATCTAGGCATTAAAATGATCACCAACACATTAAATTATACATGAAGACTGTATACCTAGGTCTTATGTGGCAATAATATAATAAATATTTATAACTACAAGACAAGTAGGTATCGAATCCAAACACAATCACGTAAAAATCTATGTTAAATCAAATCAAAATATTACAAAATTAATAATTCAATTCTAACCATAATAAATAATATTGTTTAGACAAATTAATGACCAAATTACTTACAAATTATTGAAGATAGAGAACCACAAAATTATACACGTCTGCTTTCCACAAGATTTGCCGGCGAATTGAAAAACATAAACAAACCATGGGCGGCCTTTCGGCACGGTCAAAAGAAGCCGCCAACACTCCATGTTCAGTGGTTAAAAGCGACATAGGTACTAAGTTCAATACTTAGTTGCAATATTTACATAATTATTTTTGTGTATGATGAATGTTAATACATTTCCTAATTGAACTTTTGTATTGTTTTTGTGATGGATTCAATTTGAATTTAATGATCAAAATTTTTCGATTTATAGTTTTAGATAAGTAATTAAAACTCTGATTTTATTTAATGATTTCGAATCAAAATGCACAATAATGTCAAAGAAATCATTAAATAATTACAATACATAACTAGGATAAAATATACTCGTTTATGTCGTGGCAAAAAATAATGTTAATTAGGAGTACCAAAAGTGAAGCTACAATTTACAAAAGGCTTGCCGACTCGTGTCGGCTCGTGCCGTCTAATATCAAAGAAAGACCGACGAATAGCGCACTAATTCTTCTACTCGACACTAGGTGGCGTTGAACTTACAATCATTTAATAACAAATGCTTTTATTTACTTTTTGGTGTTTTTTTTTCAATGATGCATTACATAAGAAATAAAAATACCACTTCAAATATTCGTTTTATTTCAATAATGAAGGCTCATAAAGATTTACGTGTTAAAAATATGTTTATTTTATTTCAGCCCAATAGTTAAAGTATCAACTAACAGATGGCGTTAAAATTCAGACGAGGTGAATATTATACGACCAATTTTGAGAGGTAAATTTTATTGTCACAGAAACCATGAACGGAACGATAATGTAATTACTTTTTTAATCATCTAATAATTTTATTAAAAATAATGTCCATAACAGTTCTTCGATCGTTGAGTGATCGCAGGGCGTAATTTGTGAAACAAGAGATTTTAAGTTAATTTCCATGTCGGGCAATATATTCACATAGTAGGTAACTGAATAAATATTTAAAATATTTTCTTTATATAATAATCATTTAAATTACGAAAACTCATCTGTAGGTACTTTTTGCTCGACTAGGGAATCGAACGCGTGTTCTGTTGCGCAGAAGCCGGTCAGCTAACTACGCCGCCGGAGTAGTTATGGGCATGCATGCATGCATCATGCCTCTTTTGATCCTTAGGGACAATAAATAAAAGAAATACCACCTACTTTCTTACACACTTCTTTACATTCTATTGATTATAAAACAATTGAATAGGTTTTTTTTAAGGGGGGATAATTATCGAATGACTGCTCCCGCCTGGGTGAGGCGGGAGGGAGTGTCAGACTCTAACTGACTAAAAACCACCCCGTACCTTCTCCTGCACGTCGAGCCGGAGCCCCGGTAACCCATTAGGTTCTCCGCGACTACAACTAAATAGGTATGCATCATCATCAGCTTATTTCGTTCCAATATTAGACATAGGCATACCTTTTAAAGATCTAATAGCACGGTTGGTGCGGTGGCTGGGCAACCGGTTGCCGCGCAACGTCTCGCGATTTCGATTCCCGCACGAAGCAACTCTTTGTGTGATGCACAAATTGTTATTCCGGGTCTGAGTGTCATGTGTATGTGAACTTTTATGATTGTAAACGCACCCACGACACAGGAGGAAATCCAAGAGTGGGGCAAAATTAAAAATAAAATACACGCTACTGGTACTAACCACTGAGCAACAAATACTTTGATCTTAAAAGCATAACATAACATTACGCCTTTTAACCCCGAAGGAGGTAGGCAGCGGTGCTCATTACGGCTCTTAATGCCACTGTACAATGTAATACCCACTTTTTACTATTTATGTTATGAGTCCCATGTAATAGGTGGTGAGCCTATTGCCATATACCGGGGACAATTCTAGATCCCGTGCTACTACTGAGGTTATTTAAAAACCCAGTAATACATTGTCCGACCCGTGAATCTAACCCGAGAGCCCTTGTTCAGCAGTCGCACTTGCGACCATTCGGCCAACGAGGCACTCTTAAAATGTAAACCAATAACGATACAATTATCAAAAAGATTTATGTTCACAATAAAACTACAACCTTTCTTCCTTTCTCAAACAAACATCTCACTTAACAAGATGGCGTCCATTAAAAACAAAATAAGACAATATGGCGGCGTTGCGTCACGCCACGTCACGGCATAGTAATTACAAAAGCTCAGCGCCCACAAAATAAACGTAGTGATCCAGATCAGTAAAACACCATGGGTTTTATTATTATTGTGTGTTTTTTTGGTCAAAGATTAGTTAATAAATCAGTTGGTTTAATAATGGATGGTATTATGCCTAAGTCAAAGTCAAAGTCAAAATCATTTATTTCAATTAGACCAGGATGGCACTTTTGAACGTCAAACAACAAAAATGTATAAGTGAAGCTAGTTGCTCATTCCAAGGCGTAGATTCCTATGGAGAAGAACGAGCAAGAAACTCCATAGGTTACTCTTTTTCAATCAGGTTTACAATACAATTCTCTAGTCACATTGTTTTATTGGTTCGATTATGTGAGAACAATGCAACACCTAAATCCAGTCAGAAAGACTGAAAAAGAAAATAATAGTTTAATATGTACGCGTAGAATACGCTTGATTCAAAGATGGACGTTGTGTTTTTTTTTTTTAAGGGGGGAAAATCATCGAATGACTGCTCCCGCCTGGGTGAGGCGGAAGGGAGTGTCAGACTCTTACTGACTAAAAACCACCCCGTTCCTTCTCCTGCACGTCGAGCCGGAGCCCCGGTTACCCGTTAGGTTCTCCGCGACATGGACGTTGTGTAACTGGTGCTCGAATACGAATATTGAAACGTCGCTCAATTTTAAGTCGCGCTTAAGTCTAATTCTGTCTCTACATATTCTTTGTAAAATGACAGGGACGGCATGATATTTAAGTACAAGTAGCATAGGTTGGCACTTGCACTTTTTATCGAGCACCCTCAAAATAAAACGACAAATATTAAACGTGTTTACGTGACTTTATTTTGCTAAAGTACTCAATGACACCATCAAAAACTTTCCTCTCCTTTTCAATTGATAATATGAATAGATTGCAAAGTCGTGTTTGACTCATTGTAGATCTTAAGTAAGAATTTATTAACTTTAATTTCGAGAAACTTCTTTCATAAGTAGCCACCGAAACACAAATAGTTAAAAGAGCTAGACTTGGAACAGACTCAGAATAGTCCCATTTTACCATTAATTTCAGAAGCTCCAGAGTAGTCCATTAGATTACTTCTTGAAGAGAAATGCTGGCGGCTTCCAAGTGGCGCCTCAGTCGAAAAATCTCCAAATAAATGTCCTCTGGGAGATTGGTAGCCTTGCAGTATTCGGGTGTGGGTGTGCTATAATCTTCGATGCAGTCTCTGACTTGGTTGGTGTAGTAGATTATGTATGATTAATGATTACATAATCATATTATTTTATTATTAGGAATTTGAATAAATTGAAAATTTGAAACTATACCTGGGAGCAAAGCAACGGAGCCACTATCGTTTTTTCTTTGTCATTTCTTGATAAATGTGTTCTGAAACAAATTGGTAAAGTGTGTCGTATAAAATACAATTTAGTGACCTTTAAAATTGGAGCTTTTTGTTGTTAAAGGATTTTTTTAATTTATAGAGGGTTCGATAAAATGAAATACGGTGGTGGCACCGTTTGCTCTCAAGTGTATACCTACTACGGAGCCGCAGAAGACTTAACGGGTTGCCAGGGCTCCGGCTCGACGTGCAGGAGAAGGAACGGGGTGGTTTTTAGTCAGTAAGAGTCTGACTCTCCCTCCCGCCTCACCCAGGAGGGAAAAGTCATTCGATCATTTTCCCCCCTTAAAAAAAGTGTATACGATATCTATTATCTACATAGATATCGCTACGGGAAATAGACGTGGGTTAGAATTTCAAGTTATATTATGGAACTTTGAACAAGCGCGACATTCCACCTCCATGTGAGAAGAGGAATTTGCCCTGTAATGACTTAATGAGAGTAGGTATTAGATGAGATGATAACAAATTATTTCGAGGCAGTGACTGTCGTGAATATGAGCCTCAAGTATAGCTTGAAACTAGTCGAGTTCCTCGTCAAATAATTACGTGAGTAAGCCGAAAACATGATAATGAATTTAGTAGGTATTACGAAAGTTGTAATTTAAACAAATTATTTTCTTTACCTATTATTTAGGTATTATGTTAAAAAATAATGTAACTATGTATTGAAATTAGTATTAAATAAAGTACAAAAATATGACACGCCAGAACAAAATGATCGATAATCAGTCAAAACGATGAGTACCTCT